TCTAATCAGCCAACGATTTAAGGGATTTAGAAACCATTGCATAATCCATGGGTATTATGAATCAACACCAGGTTGTTAAAGAAGTGGGTTGACCTCGTTGTCGCAAACTGCGACCATACCCGAGGCTACAACATCTTGGTCTTCACATCTTCAATTTAGCCAGGTTGTTAAACCTATGATCCCACAATAAATTGTTTATTGCGAGTTTCGGTGCTTGCCCTCAACTAACTATAGTTGATCCCAATATCGCCTTTTATTAGACGTTGATGACACTTATCATACCAGATGTAGGATTCGACTCGTTAGTGCAACTATCCAGCATATATTGTCGATTCGTGGATAAGGCAAGCAAGCTTCAAGCAAACATTTAATGATATTTTTGCTTAGAACGTTTAGCAAATCACCAAAGCAATTGTGATTTTTACACGGCATTCCCGACATCGCATCTTTTTTGGGTCTTATGGACATTTTTAGTTGGATTTTGGCCTATGATTTGTGGATTCTAAAGCAGACGCTTTGGCCCATAGTTCTTTCGACTTATAAGATAGGTAATTTGTCAGATAATTTCGTATAACTTTATCTCGGCAAGCACTTGTGCTACCTGTATTAAACTTCTACTCGGGTGGCTGGAGAAATTTGAGCAAAATAACAATTAAATTCCATCTTAGATTAGAATGCTCTTGTTGAATTCATAGGTAGTGAAGCGCACTTACGCAATCTTGTCTCATTTCTGCTTCATTCTGATTAGTTTAATTATATGTACCTTTAGTGCGGTCGATCGAAATATGTCTTAATCCCTGAATATTAGTGTTGCTGCATCCTTTGATTTCCTACTACACTTTGCTTTATGCTTAGATGGCTAATATTTCTGTGTTTTTAGCTTTTCGTATTTATTTCATATTTTTTGATGTTAGATAGGATTGGGACTTGAATAGCCACGTGAAATGCTCATTTTTTGAGCTTAACATTTCCACTACTATTTGTCATTATTGCCGCATCTAGGAAAGCTTCAGCGTCTTGATATGCTACTACGAGAGCTGAAGGCCGGCCAGCACCGTGTACTTATTTTTACCCAGATGGCTCGTATGTTGGATATCCTTGAGCAATTTCTCGCCTATCACGGTTATCGCTATCTTCGGCTAGATGGCACCACCAAGGTAGAACATCGCCAGCTGCTGATGGAGCGCTTCAATGCCGACTCTCGCATTTTTGTCTTTATACTCTCAACTCGATCTGGCGGACTTGGCGTCAACTTAACAGGGGCAGATACTGTTATATTCTATGACTCCGACTGGAATCCTACGATGGACGCCCAGGCACAAGACAGGTTATTATTTTACTTCACACGTATTATTAGTTTATTCAGCACATCTTCTCCTTCTTTATATTACTTTTAGTCTTATTTTTGGCATTCATATTTAAAGCATAAAGTTACTTTGAGTCTGCTTTTTATATTTTTCCTATTTTGATTTTATATCCTGGCTTATATTTTTTTCGCCTTTAATTCGTCATATCTTTTTTTTATAATTGTCTTCCCTTTTTCATTGCACCAACCTTGGCGTTTATGCAAAGCATACTATATTCTCTAACATGCCCATGAATCATGTTCCATGTGTATCTAGAATTCAACTCGTTATGTTTTCTTCTAGTCTTAATGAATTCATCTTTAAATTATAAATATATATTGTTACATGAAACATGGAGTAGCTTTTGACCTTTAAAGTGGGAAATTACACTCGAATCTTCTATAGCAATTTGCGTTATTGCTTGTCGTGGACGATTTCAATTGAGGATTTGGCAAAACATAACCTATATGGACTTTATTTCAAACTTGGGATTTCTTAATTGTTCTTACGGTTATCCTACATCACTATTGTCCAACGATGGTTTTTACTCCCTCAGGTGTCACCGAATTGGTCAGACTCGGGATGTTCATATATATCGACTTATCAGCGAGATGACTGTAGAAGAGAATATTCTGCGCAAGGCCAATCAGAAGCGATTTCTTAGCGATGTGGCTATCGAGGGTGGGAAATTCACGACCGCTTTCTTCCGTCAGAACACTATCAATGAGCTTTTCGCCAAGCCGTCGGGTCTCGAGGTAATTGCTCTTTCAGAGCCTTATCTGAATCTTATTCGTTGTTATCCTCGTTCACAAATCTTTAGAACCAACTCTTACTTTTTATCTGTTAAATATTTTATTATCACTATCTTGGTCCCAGTATTTTAGATGTACAAAAAACTATATTGCAACATACTTCCACATCCTTATTTTATGGGTAAGAC